GGTCCTTCGGGACATTTATACGAGCTGTGGTGACTGTATTAGTGCACAACCTCAATGTACTCACATACCTCTATTCTCGATAATATACATGGGCAATGAAATTGAAAGACAAATGAAAGTGAAAGTGATAAAAGAAGGTAAGTTGCATGTGTGCATGACCTGATTGTATATTGTTATCATACCATAGATTCATGCATTGATGTGATTCAATGATATGAATGCACATACATGAATTATATGTGTTATATGATGAGTATATGGTAAGTGGAAAGGATTATTGATAGTGTTTGTATATGTATGTCTTTTATTTATATGAAATGATATATGGTTATATTATATGTTTTAATATGCCTCACTAAGTCTATGACTTAGCGTGTAAGTGATTTACACGTAGGTACCAAGAACGAGAAGTGAAAGAATGGAAGTGGCAAAGACAGTATCACTACTAAAAGATCAGATCAGAAGTATTTGACAAAGTATGTATTTGGTTATGTATAAAGTGTTGGCATGTAATAAGTCATTAAGTACGAGCACTCTGATCAAGTTTGTATTTTGTTTTAAATAAAGTTTTAAATTTCCCGGGATTTTTCTTAAGAGTCAAGATTTGAAAAGTCAATGTGACACGTCGGACTCGTATCCGGGTCGGGTACGGGTTGGGGGTGTTACACAATCGGACTGTTGACGCTTAGAATCATGGCATCATCTGTCTCCTCTGTCACGTTAGCAGATTCTGTGCACCAGTATTTTTCTTCGGCTCGGCAATCTCTTTTAAAGTGACCCTTCTTGCCGCAGTTATAACAGGTAAAATCTTTATTTCCCGTTCTTAATTTTCCCCTTCTGGATTTGGATCTGCCACGATTTGAATTTCTTTCTGAAGTTCTCCCTCTGGACTCCGTGTGCAAGGCTGAGGAGATTGATGCTTCACCCGATTCTCTCCGTCGAATTTCTTCGCTCAGTACCAGATCCCGAACATCGTCGAATTTCAATTTACTATTTCTCGACGAGCTGCTAACTGCTGTGACAGTAGCATTCCAACTGTCTGGTAGAGATGATAAGATAATTAAAGCTCGAACTTCATCATCGAATTCAATTTCCACTGAACTCAACTGGGTTGTGATTGTGTTGAGTTTATTTAGGTGTTGTGCCACTGATGCCCCTTCCGCCATCCGCAAATTGAATAATCGCCTCATCAAGTACAATTTGTTTGAGGTCGATGACTTCTCATACATACTAGATAGAGCCGCTATAAGACCCACCGTGGTCTTTTCCTTTCCTATGTTGAAAGCAACATTGCGGGATAACGTCAGTCGGATAACTCCGAGGGCTTGTCTGTCGAGAAGAGCTCAGTCTTCATTCTTCATGCCCTCTGGTTGCTTTCCTGAGAGAGGTTGATATAGATTTTTCTGGTACAGAAAATCTTCAATCTGCATCTTCCAAAAGCCAAAGTCCGCACCATCGAACTTTTCAATTTTCGCATTCCATTCGTCTGCAGACATCGCTCCCACTCGAATCTGGATTCGTTTAGATCGTTTCTGATAATCTTTGCGAACCACCATGTATTAGAACACCTCCGTCGATAAATTCGTATCGCCGACAATTTTTTTTACTATTCACGAAATTCACTATTCATGTGAACAGTAATGAATAGTAACCTCGCAAAAAAATTGACAAAATTCACAACCAAAAGCTCCGATACCAGTTGTTGGGAAATAAACAAGTAACGAGTAATTTCCCTATAACCAGATTAGTGAGAATGCGAAATAAAAGTGGAAAAATAATACCCGAAATTGATAACGGAGTTTAGCCAATTTTGCTTACGTCTCCGGACTGTTGCAGATCTTTTACTAAGAGAGAAAATTTACAGGTTTTTACAAAACACTCAATACTCATAAGAAAGCTTTTTAGTATTAGGAGAAAGAAATGATTTGGGATTTTTTGAGATCGTTATGAAGCTAAATGGGCTAGAGTATTTATAGTTGAAGCTTATAGACTAATCTGGTAAATATCCTAAAAAATGTAATGACTAAAATTGCAATATTCTCATTTCCTATTTAAAAAAATAGCACCGAAATCGATGCATTAATTCCCGCCCAAACTTGTTGAAAACCATTGCCATCCCCTGTTGAAATCAATTTTGGCCGCCCCTTTTTGACTTGGTGGCTGCTTGCTTTTAATTTCAACACCATCCTCTTCACCAATACTTTAGGTTTCTTGTTGATCACCAAGAACATGATCAGGCAAGTGTTAGAGGCGGTGCTTTATCTTTGCTTGGTACCGTATACGGTTCTGGAGAAGATGAGAATGGTGAAACGGAAAATGCTACTGAAGTTAAGAGAACAGAATCTGTGAGAGCTGGGGTTGCTATTGATAAAGCATCAACTGATGGACCAGAGCAGAAAGAATCTTCTTTAAGTGTTAATAGAAAAGATGATACGGTAACTAAGCATTCAGCTCCTTTAAAGGAAAAGGCTTATGTGATAAAAAAAGAAATCAATTGATAATAACAGTTAAGGCTGGAACGACGACTGGGTTGAAGAAAAAAATGATTCCTCTGCAGATGAGAAATCACGAGCTTCTTCTTTGCCACCCACATCGAAGGTTGAATTACCTGTCATGGAGCCCCCATCAGATTTAAAGAGAGTGGTTGATAAGATTGTAGATTTCATAATGAGGAATGGTACAGTTTGAAGCAGTTCTGGCTGAACAAGATGTTAAGCAAGGGAGGTTTACTTTTTCGTTGCCATCCAATATGTATCACCCTTATTATTTAGAAGCTCTTCAAAATACCAAAAAGGTATGTTTCTCACTTTTCAATGGGATATAATAGGTTGAATCTAATGTGGAACATCTTATTTTCCATATAATATATTTATGCATTGAGGTATCCATGTGAACTTTTCTGTTCTTATAATTGTTTTGTATTGCATATTCATCCAATTTGATTGTGATTGTCCTCTGATTACATCATGATAGCATATTCTTCGCCTCTTTGGTTCTATCTTTAATTCTAAGTTACAATACTTCACTGTTTCACTTTTTTTTTTTTTGCAATGAAAATTACCTTGTAAAGCTTCTGTTTCCGAGAAGCATGGTTCATCTGGCTGTGGTGTAGAGAAGAAAGTTGCTTCATCCCGAGAAAGTTAAATTTCAAAATCAACTTCAAGCTATGATGCAGATGATACAACAAAATCAATCTCAGAGTCCACCATCTTATGTGTTGTTATATATATATATGCTTTGTTTATTATAGTTAACAATATTGCACTACATTATATTTCACTTTTATGTAAACTTTGATTTATTATTATGAATTTCAAGTTTGTTGTTATGGATTTTAAAATGTAAACTTTAATTTTAAATTTGGGTAATAAAATAGCAGGGAAAGGCGTTTGAAAAATTAATTTTAATTAGCAACGTTTGTATAATAAAACGCCACTAAATACATAGTCAATACCAGGGTTTGTAAAACAAAACACCACTAAAGTTCAAGATCTTTTACGACGCTTATATAAAAAATCCACTATAAACATAGTCAATAGCGACGTTTTACATTCACAAACGCCACATATGTCAGCACATTTAGACGCATTTTGGGAACAAATGCCACTAAAGAAAAGATAAATAGCGGCGTTTATAAAAACGCCACTAAAGAACATAACCTTTAGCGAATCATAACTTTTAACGGTGTTTGACGTTCACAAATATCGCAAACTTTTAGGGTGTTTGTTTTAGTGGTGTTTTTAGTGGCGTTTGTTTTTGTGCCAGAAAAAATTTTAGCGATACTTAAAAACGCCGCCGAATGACTAAAAAATATTGCAAAAAATCTGTTTTGTTAAAGTGAATGCGTGTGCCACCCTAACCGTGTGCCTTAAATGTGCACTTCTTAGGCGCGAAAATGAGGAGCCATCTCTCTATTCGGCCAAGGCAGTAACCAACAAACTTGATGCCAAAATGAAGAGCTATAAGCCTTATTCGACCAAGATACATCCCTCCACCTTTTTGGCCGAAACATTAACTTCCTTTTCATACTATGTATTCAATTAATTAGGACTTTATGAAAAGATACATCCATGGCCGAATGCTCATGTACCTTTTGGCCTTGTTCCTTTTCATAATCTATAAATAGGACAAATTATTTCCTTTGTAAAACAACCTTGTTTATCAATATATCAAGTGAGAAAATTATCTTTTCCTTAGTCTTTTCTAAGACTTTATCAACTTATCAAGTAGCAACACTTGGGGCGTCAAACCACTCTTTCATTCTATAGATACTTGTGATTTTTATCTCTATAGATAGTGGGTCTAAATCCTTTTTCTATCACCTCTGAATAAATTTATAAGGATAAGTCTTTGTTTATTGTAACACTGACTCTTTCTTAATCTATTCAAGATACTATCATCACCTTATCCACTTTCTCTTATAGCCATCATCATAACCAAATACTTGATCGTTTTTCCGCATACTCTATATCGTTTCAAGCCCACCTTAAAACAATACATTCACTTAACTTTTTTTTATATAATTTTCTTAGATCCTACAATCAAGTTGTCACCGTCTTCAAAGTCTATTGAAGTGTGCCCCAACTTACATCATATTGCTCGATGCGGTATTGGACGATGTGGTATTAGACGATGTGGGCTATTTAAATGGATAGAAGCAGAAATGAACTATTGTTATATTTAAGGATAAATCCACTCTCTCTTCTTCTCAAGTTTATACGAAAAGAGCGTGATAAATGTTATTTTAGAAATAGAATTAAGAATAAAGAGGAGCTTATTGCCTAGATTATTTTGACTATACATACAAAATTTCTTAGCAACAATAGGGTAAATTTAGACCTACAAATTTGTATAGACTGAGAAATTGGACTTGAGTTGTCTGTTAAACTCGTGTTTTGTAGCAACTAGTTTGATGCTTCTTTCAAATATAATATATATATTTTATCCAAAAGAATCTAACCCAGACCCATTCAAACAGGGCTGATCACCCCTCAGACTAAAAACAAGGTCACAACAAGAAGACAATAAACTCTTGTTTCTAATTAAATTATGTTAATGAAATGTCGAGTAAAATGTACATTTGTAAGTCAAATCTAGAACAATATAGAACCTTTCATTTGTAACTCCAATGGAAATCGGGACCCATCCTTTTCGTCGAGGCGGCTTTTGCTTTACAACATCGCTCTTTTCGATCCCGATGTCTCCACAACTGGGATTCTAACATTCCAGAAGCACCCAGAACAAATTCTTCCTCACCCACGTGTCACGTTCCAAACACGTGATTCCTCGAAGAATGACCACGTCCCTCTTCAATACCGTCACATCACCCATGCTTCCGAATCAAATAGCATTGCATATCGCTTGATCATCTCCCAAGCTCCAGCCACGTTGACTTTTTATCCACGGCTCTTCTCTAACCTTAGACCCAGGTTCAACATCCTGCTTCCGTACTTGATTATTATTCCGATCCTCCCCTTCTCTCCTCACGCGCTTCACCCCTATGGAAACTCCGAATAACTTCGGCGTCACATTCTCTGCCGCCGCCGTTACCTCCTTCGGACTACTACCCTCCGTAGTACTCGCCGAATTCCTCTTTGATAATATATCTAACGCCATTCCTTCTGCCAGATTTGAATGATTCTCCAACAGACTGGAAGCATGGTTGGTCATCAGAGTAAATATATTGTTACATAATCCCTTCAACCGAGCCAACTCACGGCTCAGCTGAGTGTTTTCTTTTCTAAGCCTCTCGTTCTCCTCTAAAAGCTCCGACGTTGTCGTGCAGCTCGTGATCCGATGCACAATGGAGGCGACAGGAGGCAAGTTCGACGAGATTACCTGCTCATCTCCCGAGTTCGAGGGCGAGGGTGATACCTTAGGAGGAGGAGCCGCAATGGTCACTGTCGCCGAAGCAGCAGGAGTTATTTTACGGCGCTGTATGTCTCGGAGAAGTCCCTTATCACCTCTTCGAAAACATTCGTTAGCAAACTCCCATCGGTCCGGCACTACCTTCCTAAATCCCTAAAATAGTAATTTTATTATAAAATAAATTAATTTCTCATGATAACCCAATTATACTTTGCTAATATCTAATTTTCAAAAACTTACATATGTGTTGAGTTGGCGCACGAAGCTGGAGAAATTGTTATGTTTGAAGTATTTAGGGAGCAAATCACGGGCGAATTCCGCGGGCTGCCAAACGATGAAAGCTGATCCGTCTTCGTTCCATGAAATCAAGTCATCGACGGAAGGATCATCGACGAGCTGATAGGTTTTCGTAAGAAACGGAGTAGGTAAAGATCGTTGTGAGTCGGCGGCAGCACTGGCTAGGGATTTGCAGGCCATGAGGTTCTGTCCAACATACGAACACTAAATATCCAGAAATATCCAAAGAGATCTATTCCTCTGCCTTGCCTTTGCCTCTTTAACTGGTGCTGATTAATATACCTCTAATTAGGAAAAAAATAATAACAAACATACGTTCCTTACCCGAGAAAGTTCTTAAAGATAAAATAAATAAATGGACAAAGAAATATATTCGATGCTTCTAGCCGAAAATATGCAGTTTAGTCGGAGAAATTCAACACTAAAATACATTTATTTATTCAGATTCACGGAACGGAAACAGTTTCTCGACGATGTGATCTTTTGATATAATTGATGAACAAATATTATAACATTAATTCGTTTCTTTCGTCAATCAAAAAGAAATACATTAAAAAATTGAAATATTCAAATCCAACATGAAGAATAAGTGGATATTAAAATATTTTAATATTCATACCTGGAAAGAAAGCAAAACTTTTCTCACCAACCAAACAAGAAGTAAGAAACCTGGCTCGTGCGGTCAGACACCATTGAATGAATGTTTCAGGTTTCAACACAATACAGAGTTGAAAGCGGCATGTTAGAGAAGGGGAAAGATGGAAAGTTAGGTTTTGTGATTTCTAGAAGTTTCTGCTGGAGTAAAATGATAAGAATATTAGAAAGAAGGGGAAGATGGCTAGCTTATCTTAAAAGAGAGAGAAGAGCAGGCAAAGTAGGTGGGGACCACGCGCAGTGGAAAGAAAAGGAAGGTGCCAGAAGGGCGTATTATTTATATGATTTTAGGATCTCTTTCAGAAGCTTCTGTTTAATTTTTGGATAATAACTTTGTGGTAAAGTCGAGATATTTTTCCCCCTAATTTGTTATATTACAGCACGATGTAGATTGTCTTGAGACGTGTCCTCTGTTTTAGAGAAGATTGAGTGGAATTTATGGGCGAAGTTGGCAGGTGGAGATATAAGGGGCCTGTAGTTGAGCCACGTGGATGGTATGGAATAACATTCGCCGAATTTCTAGGATAATAGATCTATATAGAAATCAGAGATGATGGGATATTTAAGATCTATTTGTTTTATGTAATTTATTTTATGAATATTTTTTTTATTTTTAATATTTATTTATTATAAATCATGTATTTTATCGATCAATATAATTTTTCTAAAATGTTTTCAAACTAATATTTTTTCAGTTTAAAGTCTGCTCAATTTAAATATTTAATCATTAAATTATTGCTTAGGTTCCTAAAATCAAAATAAATTTGAATAAAATCATAATAATTCGGCTTGAGCCTAATTTTGGTCCAACCCAACAGAGAGTAAACTTCAGTTGAACCCATATGAAAATGATCCAACAATTAGTCATCCAATACAACCATTATTTGTAAATCCCAATATTTCAAGGATAAAAATACACACTCTCTTGTAAAGCCTATAGCCAGATAAGATAGCACAAATTGCAATAACTAGAAATGTTGCAAACGCATGCTGGTCGACACAATGGTTCCCTTCCGGAACCTGTCCGATGATTGGCATTGCCACCGAAGCCGATAATCAACGACGGATCATAAACATTTTTAAATTTAAGTACATACATATTAATAATATAAAATTTATTAAAAAAAAATCATATTATAAAATGAGTCCAAACTAAAAATTAAATTTTAGATAGTGCAGAACTATTTGTGAATCATATTATGTTGAGAATATGCAACTTGTGCTATGCTAACTGTTAAGCATTCAGATTCCCTAAGCTTTGAGGGTACAAGGCTTCTGGCAGTTCCTCATTTAAGACTACTGATTTCATAGTTTATAAAGGTTTTCTCTCATATATAAGGTTAAAAGAATAAATATTAAAAAAATAAATATTAAAAAATTATATAATGGTTAAAAAATAATTAGAGTGCATAAAAAGAACTAGAAATGAGAACAAAATGAAAAATGTAGAACGATTAGTTTTGTCAAGAAGCAGTAATTTCAGGCGTCGAAGAACCTAATATGACAAGAGAATACATTCAATTCTGATTAGGAGTGTGACATGTGTCATCTCAATTTAAATGATTAATAACATTAATAAGACTGACTATTTCATTGTCATTATAAGGACAATGTTAACATACTTCGTCTTCTCACGTAACAAATGCTCACTTACATGTTGTGCATATCTTATGAACAAATTATCAATTATGGCCTCTCCAAAATGAATCACAAGCATGGCTTCAGTAATTGCTCTTATGCTATCCGCGACGTTTTGTCCACTTTTACGTATAAAATTTCCATTGCAGTCATCGTCTTCGAAATCCCAGTTTACTTCAAATTTCTTTATTTTGTCAAGAACGAAAGATCCTTCCTTTTCGACGATTTCCCTCACTTCTTCTTCACAGGGGTAATATAGAGGTATATAGAATGAATCCACATCAGATTTATGTATCAATCCCTACCAACCAAATAGATTATTTATCAAAAATCAAATAGTCATAATGCAATATTATATAATATATACACACATGACATTACGATTGAAGAAAAATATAATATCAAAATTAATCCTCAACGTTTATCTAAATAATCCTTTTAACTTATATATATTTTTTAACATTTTAACTTCTAACATTACAATTTTTGGTCAAAACAACCCATATTAAATGAAAACAATTAGTTGATTAACAATCAATGTATGTTATTGAAATGATATTCTCATATGTGTTTAATTATTGATATGTCATATGTCATGTCATCAAAGATAATGACCTGACACGTATCACATCACTCAAGATGACAGTGTGGCATGTGACACATCAACAATTAAGCATATATAAAAATGTCATGTTAGCAAGATATGTTAATCCTTAATCAACTAATTGTTTTAAACCGGTATGAGTTATTTTGACCAAAAATTGAAACATTAAGGATTAAAATACTTCATAAAAAATTAAAAAGGAGTGAAGACTAAAATGACATGTTTATAAACCTTGGAGACTAATTTTAATATTATGAGGGGGGGGGGGAACACTGAACCTTTTCTACTAAGTCGAGGAGTGATTTGGTTAAAAGCTCCCATATGCAACAATTGTCTTTGCATGTGGGATCAGTAATGCTCCTACCGATCAAGGTAAGCACCATTCGTCCTCCACCCATCATTTCTTCAGAACGAAAGCGTAAAAATTTCGAGAAATCATTTCCAAATTGCTTCGAATAAGCATCAGATACATTAGGAGGACTTAACTTCGATATGTAAACGTTCTCATTATTATTCTCAACAACTCCTTTTGGGACCTAAAAATCATTCACAATCATATATACACAGTTAATATTAATCTCTCTACTGCAATAAATTCAACAGGTATGATTTCAAACCTTTGAGAGCCAATGAAGACAATAAGAAGAATGGATAAAGTGAATGCTGTTGCTCGGAAAAAGCCTTTCATGAACGGAACCTGCAACTCCGGCTATGAAGCAGCGCCCATCGAAAGCGGGAACAGATCTAAAGACAGTGTTGAAATCGTTGTGGGGAAGATCATTTAGGAACACTTGAAGCTCGGGTGATTCCCAGTGTGCTTGTTGACAAATCCTAGTGATTGTGTTCATAATTTCGTATGTTGGGAAGAAGGTGTTGGGACCCGAAGCACAACCCAGATCTGCCACCTTAATGCAACAAGTAGCCGGTAAAACCTTGCTCAGCATCTCTTTCATGGTGTCCTCCAGGAATGGCCTTGTCTTCAATAATACTTTTTTCTGGTAAAAAAGAAAAAGAAGTGCTGAACAAATTGTTTGATTGAAGAGAAGGATATAATAGATATTGGAGATTGGGAAGAGACTTGTAGTGAGGAACTATTGGCATAGCTGACTCGTTTGTCTGCGGCGTTCATGCATTGTACTTTTGCAGATGCCATAGTCGTTGCCTGCTGTATCTCGATGGAGTTTCCTAATGCATGAATACTCGTCTTATAGAGACTATTGAAAATGAGTTGCAGATGGCAGTGGGCGCTGGCAGTATGGCATATACTGTCGCCTTGATTTCATCAGTTGAAGTTTTACAGATCAGCATCAGGCGGTACTTTGTCCATATGCGAATTTCATTTTCCAATGCGAATCTGTGAAATTTTTTATATAATACTCCATATGTTTTTTTTTTAAATTTATCCTTTTCTAGTTTAAAAAATTATTATTTAAAATATTATATATAAAAAAAAGTCAACAAATGATAATACTTATATATGTCTTTCTATTTTTATTCTTTTATATCTATCAAAATAAATCTGTTAAAATTATTTATTATTTTCTGAAAAATAATTTTATTATTTCTCTTATTTTATATATGATTAAATTTATCTTTTAAAAATTACGTATTTTATCAATATAAGAAACAATTAATGAGACCAATGGAGTATATCTTTTCCATTATCGAAAGATGGTGCAAGCAGATGCATGGATTTGATTTATTCACTGGGCCGACTAAAACAAACTATTCTACAAATTATTTATGATTTTATCAATATAAATAAAATTAAAAGATTTTTTTTTGTTAAAAATATGTGTATAATGTTTTCTCTATTATATTTTTAGGTGTTTAACGTTTCCGACGTTATATTTTTAAGTGTTTATATCGTAACATTCGTTAAAAAAAACTTGTTAAATACTATGTGTTATCTTTACATTTTTTGAAATTTTTATTTTAAAAAATAATAATTTTAAAAAATATTTTTTAATTAAAAAAACCCTACCCGCATCACCCCTGTCGTCCCCTCCAGCAGCATGTTCACACCTTAATTTTGAAATTGCAGCAGTAATTTCACACTTTAATAAACAGCCGACGTTGGGTATTTTGGATTAGGGTTAAGGATATTGGATGATGGCAAGAGAATGGTTAGAAGCGGAGGTCCGATGGTAGGTGGGTGGGCGTTCAATGATGGCGAAGGTGGTTGGTGATTACTGATGACATAATAAAATTAGAATGAAGGATTTTAGGATTTTAAGAGTTTTTTTAAATTTCAGAAAAAAAAATTATGGTTTTTTTTTAAAATAATTATATTTTTTAAGTTTTTTTTAAAAAAATAAAAAAATAAAAAATATATATATAAACATAATACATGTCACAATGGTTTTTTTACAGTTGTTACGACGTAGGCATTTAAAAGTGTAACTTTAGAAACGTTAGACACTTATTTCTAACGAGAAATTCTTTAAACATCTAAAATTAACTTTAAGTATAGTTTGAACTTTTTTTTCTCGTTAAACCAATATTTATATATTATATATATATAAACATCAATTTTGGTTAACTATTTTTGCCTGATTCTCGTGAATTATAGGTTAAAGGTATCTAAACTCTATTTTAAAAAAGTAATATATTTTATTTTATTTTATATTCAATATGATCTTTGAATTGAAAAAAATAATTAAATCCTTTAATTATGGAAAAGTCCAATTATTGTTATTTATACACAATAAATAATTAAATATTTTAATTTTTAAGTGTAACACTCGAGGTTTAAAATAAACATATTTATTGAGCAAGAGACTATCTAAACTCTAAAGGCTCAATTTTTATCATATATTCATATTTGACATTTGAATCTAATCGATCGATCTGATTATTCGTTTTCTATAAATATCTGGTCTGAATTATCTAAAAATTAAAAATAGATCGGATATCTTAATTTTTGGGTCGGATCAACTAATTGAATTAATCGGATCAAATTTTTTTGCACACCCTAAATAGAATAGTTTGTATAAATGTTGATGATATGAATGTATGATAATAAAAGCATGTTTAATATGTGTACATGTATGAAGTAAAAATGTATAACATATATACTGATAATTCATATGTATATGAAATTAAAAACTAACTAATTTTACTAACTCAATTATATGCATATGTTTAATTAACGTTTATACCTATACATAATTTATAAGAGATTGATACTTGATACTACTTAAATGATATATTTCCAATGCTTCCGACATCAAAGTACATTTGTATGTTCACATGATGTAATTGAAATATGAATTATATATTAAAGTATTATAAAATATAAAATACAAAGACTTAATTGTCCACTTTGCATCAGTGGAGCTCACTGGCTCACAGTACTCCTGTTACCCACTGCAGGTGCAGTGAGATTTGTTCAACGCACTGATGTTTCCCAAATTTCAGTGCAATTGGAGGAAAAAGCCCCTTAAACGCACCATTCTGATGCCAATTGGGCATCCAAAGTAGGTATACGGAAGAAAAGCTCATAGTACAAAACCTTGTCTAGAATTTGATTCAAATAAAATAATCAAACTTTCCTTAGTTTTTGTAGTCATGTGTCGTAAATTGCAACACTTGTATTCGGCATTCGTTGTAAAAAATTGAACAAAACCACAGGAAACTAACATTTAATCAGCAAAAAGGTCTTGAAACTATATGAACCATTGAAGTGGCAGTTTTATAGTAATAAGTAATGTTCAAGAAAGTTGAACCCCGGTGTAAGAAATATATAAATTCCATAGAAAAGGAAGACACGTCGTTTGTGTTCTATTGCAACATGATGGAATGTGCCGATAGTGATACTTGACATAGTAGAAGAAAATCCAGACAAACCCCCACCGAGGCTCCCCATGGTTTCAGACTTCTAGTTGTCTCTCTCGTCCGCTGCCGAATGTGTCTTTCGGGGATCAAAGGAATTCAGAATTAGGTGGAAGACCCCGATAGGACGGAAAAAAAAGAACCCTATGCCACTCTATTTGTGCATGACTGAATTGTGGATTTCAGATCTTCCTTATCCAATGTTGCTTCAACAATGACCTGCTAAAACACAACATTTGGATTTATTAGAAGGGTAGTCTTAACATCATAGACACCTAAGGAAATGTCACAGGAGGTCTCAGAAACATTCATATTTCTTGTACGGGATTAACTTTTTCCCCTTAATGCTGGATACTAGACAGTCGACGGAGCTAAGAGATTATGGAAGACCATACCTCTTGTACTTTGTTTCCGGATCGAGCAAGTAACTTATATTGATTCTCAAACATGGATGCCATATAAACCTGCACCAAAAGATCAATTGGGAGCAGATAATCCCAAATCATTTGAAAATATGATGATGACTGAGCTATTATTCAAGGGATATTATTATTTCTCAAGTTTCAATCAAACTAACATGTATTAATAGGAACACTACACATGCATATCTATCAAGAGCTGCAATCCACAAATTAGTAAGAGGAAAAATATGAGCCGACACATTTGAAGAGAATTGTTCTATTTAACATCCACCAGCTTTGGCCTACTGCCTGTTGCTGATATGTCAAAGCTATCATACCTGGAATGTTGGAGCTAAACCAGGGCTCAAGAAAAACCGTCCCTTCGAAACCGACTGAATCCCTTCTATCTGCTCCAACTCTTTGATAAGTGATTCTACATCAGGCCACTGTCAACATTTATCAGTGTGAGTATTACCCTGCAAACAAGTAAAAACCTAGGATCCGTTTGTTTCACGTAAAACATTTTTCGGAAAACGTTTCCTCACTTTTCAATGTTTGATTGGAGTAAAATAGATTGGTCAATGTAAAACATTTTCTTGGTCAACAGAATTTCCTTTGCATTTTCTAGAAAATGACTAAACACTTTTCACTTCAAAGTATAAATACTCAAAATATATTATTTTATGTATTAATATTAATATGATATTTTTAGTATTATTTTAATAAACTATTATTATTCATATTTAAAATATATTATTAATATTTTTAATAATATATAAATTACAATAATATACTCAATTATATTATATAACATATGATACTATTATATTCTTATTTAATATATAATAAATTATTAATAAAAGTTATACTATTTATTAATTTCTTAAAAAAACATTATTGAATTATTAATAGTGAATAATTTTATTTACATATTGAATATTAATATAATAGTCTAATAATATTTTTAAAAAAATTCCTTAAAATATATTTATTAATAATTTTAAAAATATATATATTTTTTATTTTTATAGATATTCAATATAATTTATAATATTTTTATTTTAATAGAATATACTAGAGTTTATATTTTTATTTATAAAATTACAGATCTAATATTTTAATAATAATATTGACATAAAACTATAAATAAATATTCTAATATTTTTAAAATAATATATTAGTTTTATAATAATGATATTATTTATTATATTTTATATTTGAAATAAATAGTTTCTAGAAAATTTATCAACTAGTGAAAAATGATTTACACAACATCTTCCAAACACAATAAAACATTTTTCAGAAAATGTTTTCCAGGAGATGTAATTCATTTTACGGAAAATATTTTCAGTGAAACAAACAAACCCCTAATGCTAGTAGAAGAAGGAAACTATAAACAAAAACCTCAGAGTCTGCTTCTGCTGCTTGTAATCTTCCATCTAAGTTATCATGATCACCAACCACAGACTCCAAGGCCTCAATCAGTGGATCTGGCTGTCATGTGAAAAAAAATAAAAAAAAATGGCCTCGAATAACTGAGCTACTTTAAAATTCAGAACCTAGTTGCTTATTGATTACCGTTATTTCCTTCAACGATAAGAATATACGTTCCAGTGTGAAGTCTAATTGGTGCACTTTAGCCTCGACAATCTGAAATCATAAAGATTATCTGAATATCAGCCAAGCCAGGTCTTGCTTATTTGTGTCATTCATTCCTTAAAACAATAGGAGACTCTATTTGCTGTGGTTTTAATCTGCCAGAAAACTCAAATACCTGGCCAATCTTGAAATACGATGAAGGATCCAAGGTGGCATCCCATGATACTTCGGTCTGGTGAATCAGAGCAGGAACACCTTCAACCTATTTAGTACAATTAAATCACAATTTGAGTGGGGAAAAAAAAACATTAACTGGTCTATAATCTCACAGACATGGATGTTGTGGCTTCATGCTAAGGTAGCATATGTTCCTAAGGAAATGCAACGTAAAGGAGAAAAAACCTGCATGACACTGTTGCCAGCCCCAGACTACAAAATCTTCTCTTCTAAAAGTGCATCTATTATAGTAATTGCTAATAAATATTAACAATGCTGAAAAGCCTGTTGCTGAGAATCGCTTACCTCCACAAATATACCGAAATAAGTGATTTTCTTGATGCAGCATTTTACAACATCCCCAACACGAAGCTTTGCCTGCAACAAGATGTGGTATAAGAGCTTGAAGAGTTTTTGTTTTGTCAAGCAGAGTCATGTCCTTAATTTGAATATATTTGTTCAGTTTCTCATTTTTTAATGAAAAGATGCTATTTTTAAAATGTATTTTTCAGGAATTGTAATCCTGCAAAAAATAAATACAAAACATAGAAGACAAGCAATACATATATAGGAACAATATAGCTACTAACCATAACATTTCTCTTTTTCTCTATTAACTCTTCCTTTTCTTTTGGCCTCAGAGAAACTATAAGTTTTCTGAACTTTCTGTCACCCATTAGCACATTTACTTTGACTCTCTGTAAATATTAAGCACATCAATATACAATATGGAAATAAAGAAGAAGTTTTAAAAAATAAAATAAAATCTTCATACCTGACCAACAAATGAGGACAAGAATTTAAGCTTCTCTTGATCATAGATCCTCAAAAGATCTTCCAATTTCATATCTGGCGAATATTTTCCCTCAAATTGTTGGTTGTTTTCTGAATCTGAGTTTGAATCCAGAGAAGAGTTCTTATTCATTAGATCAGAACTTCCAATGACTCAAAATTCTGCTTATATGTAAATTAAGCACATCAATATACAATATGGAAATAAAGAAGAAGTTTTAAAAAAAAATAAAATCTTCATACCTGACCACAATGAGGACAAGAATTTAAGCTCTCTTGATAGATCCTCAAAAGATCTTCCAATTTCATATCTGGCGAATTTTCCCTCTTGTTGGTTGTTTTCTGAATCTGAGTTTGAATCCAGAGAAGAGTTCTTATTCATTAGATCAGAACTTCCAATGACTCCTAAATTCTGCTTATAAGCAGATGGGTCTAAACCCTTCTGTCTCAACCAGGATTCGAAAGCTAAGAACTTCCATTTAGCAGCCAGGTTGCGGTAAGGCAAAAATCCAATTAAAGAACCAAAAGATACCTATGACGATGCAATAAAATCAAGTCACAAAGAAGTATATGTTTGCAAAAAAACATAATAGAAGTAAGAGTTTCACTTACAACAAAACCTTTAGTGCTAGAGCTTATTAACTCCACTTCAGCCTTACGTCCAGTCTTAAGAAGATCTTCTGCCCTGGTCCAATCTCTATCCTACAATTGTATTAGATGCCAAGCTGATCAGACATCCCAAGCCATGTTTCAAAAAAGTACAGTGCTAACTTAAGGAGAAAACGCTACATAAGCTGACCTCCTGAGGTGATACAGAAGGGAGATCATCATAATCTTCAGGATTGGTGGGAACAGTTTCTGCTTTATTGGTGTTTGATGTTTCTTTCACAGATTCATCTAACCTATAACAAAGCAATTTTGTTAATCACAACTCCACCAACTAAAGGAAAAATTGTCCTAATTTTAAGAATATGTTTGACACCTTTTAGGCTTCCCCTGTAGTGCAGCTTCCAAAGAGAGACCAGTGCCAGATTCCTCAGAAGACATCGTATTACTTAGCTCAGCTGACTGCATTCCTTGAAAAAACAAAGAAAAATATAATCTTCAATCCCTAGATAAGGCAATAGTTGCGAACTTACAAGCTTTTAAAGAGAGATGAGATAAAGAGGGCAAGGGGTTGTTAACAGCTAACGCAACAGCCTAAAGGAACTTCATGAAATAACATGGTCCATTACCAATTAAGGAGTCATCCTCTATCTCCGGATTCTTAGGAATTGAACTATGCTCCGCTTCTAATGCTTCTTCAACACTACTCTTTGTTGCATTAGCCAACATATTAGCTTCTATATCTGCGTCAAATCTTTCCTCCTGAACTTCTGAATCTTCAGATTGCTCTACTTCCTCACTGATTTCTGTACGGACACTTACCTGTTCAGGCCTTTTCAATAGTGTAAAATCATCAACTGTATCCTCCACTTCTTTCTTTAGCACAAAACTATCATCAGAATATTGTTTTTCTTCGAGGCCTGTATCGGAAGTCATCAGTTCAGGCTTTCTCAACAAAGTCATATCAGTGAAACGTTCATTTGCCTTTTCATTCCTCATTCTTAGTGACAAATTTGATTTCATCCTAAACCTGGACGGCCTGTCTTCTACATCATCTTCATTAACCACAGTTGGCTTCCTCAAGATAACATTTGGAACCGTACTCCTTTTTGCACTATCCATAGCCTTCCCACCTGATAAAGTTGGTCTCTTTATCTCAGATACAGGTGGCTTAGTATCAGTTTCAAACTTGACTCCCTTCTTCGGAACAGGACGAACTAAATTTAAACCACCGGAAGATGTGGTAGTGGGTGATTTCTTTTCAACATCAAAAGGGACCTCCTCTATTTCCATTATTTTACCCTTGTTCTTATAAAATGCTTTCTCAATTTCAATATAAGAAGCTTCAGGATTTGCTTTCCTACCCATTATCTGGAAAACCAAAATACAACAACATTGAAAGAAGTCGAAAATAATCATTTTTTTACAATTACAAATATGGGTGTCTTAAAAAAACGAATTTACTCTAAATTGAGCATAAAAACAAAAGAGAAAAAGGGTACCTTGGCAATGGTGAGTTTGGGGTCTTCACCAAGCAAGCGACCAAACTTGAGCTCCATTTGGTCCCATTTGTCAAGCTTTGGCTCTTCTTTCTCCGCGAAAACCCTGAAAGAAACCCTTTTCGACCTTCTTTTCACTCTCGACAATGATACAGAAGGGAAGGGCAAATATTTGTTGATAGAGAAGGAAGCAACACCGGCGGCGCAAGAAAGACAGTCCATTTGTAAGGCCAAAGTGAAAGCAAAACTCATCAGATGGCGTTGAATAGCATTGTAAAAATTGTTGGAGCTTCGAAGCTGGGTACTGAACTCTGGGGTTTGGTGGAAGGGATAAAAAGGTGGAAAGAAGCAAGCAGAAGAAGATATGAGCAACATTATCTATCCCTCGGGTAACACCCGCATGGCAGTTTAACTTGGCAACCGCTGATATTTCGCCACGTGGAATCAGCTCTGCTGGAGTTTTGTAGGAGAAAAAGTTCTAACAGATGTCATGTGTGGATGCCAAGTAAAATTTTACAATGAAATTCCATTTTAATTTTGAGGCCTAAACTCAATGGGGCAACCCAACCCATTCAGGGCCTTCAATGGATGTAACAATTAACAAACAAGCCTGAAGGAACAAATTTATCATATAATAAACTTGAATGATTAAATTAGTCTTAAAACATTATTAAGAATTTGTAAAAGAATTCCTAAAAAAATTGGTTCTTTTATAAGTTTGCCTGCACAAAGATGTTTTTCTAATGCATGAAAGAAAAACAAAACAACAAATTTGATTCCCTTTGATAAGATATCCATATCAATTTCAACGAGAATGATTTACATTTGGAGCAACACCCAAATTCAGACAAACCCGATGCTCCTTCAAGGTTCAGTGAGCATTCGTCTAATGGATTTGTGCAACAGGTACATCAGATTTTTCTTCGGCCTCTTCTGGTTGTTTTGGTTGTGGTTCATCTTCTGATTCTAGCGGATCTTTGGGGTGAAAGAATTTTTTTTAGTTATTTTGTATTGATAATTTATTTTCGGTTATTAAAATTTTATAAGCTTATGTTTTCTAAAATACTATAAATTGGTCCCTCGCGTCCGTTCATGTTACCGAGTTTTTCTTCGAGCAAGCTTGCTGGTAAGATAACTGTAGCAGCCCTTTTTACATGAACATCTGAGCAAAGTGGTGCTTGCAGTAGAGGATGCTATTCATTGCAGAATATGATGATGGTGTAAGGAAGTAACCCCCCAGGAGAACAGCTGAAACAGGATTTGTGCTAATTTTCTACCTCCAAGTCACCTGTTTTGGTTTTAACACCAAAAAATGGCAACTTTTTTCATCCCGAATACACGGTCCATATCTGGTTCTTTCAATCAATAACAAGGTAGCAATGCAGTCACTCAAATGGGTTGATCTTGGATTAAGCATCTTAGGTCACCTCAAAAGGAAAAGATAAATGGTGCGCATTTATTGTATTGAGATTTGATCTTCAAAGAGGGATGAACAGCAATATTAATGATATATGAAAATAGAATGAATGTATTTCACATGTATATATACACACACAGATATTGATGAACACCGGTATTAGAATATCCCACTTACAAGCCAACAGAGAGGCAAAGCTAGAAGAAAAGGCAAAGAACAACCCCAAAAAAAATATTCTTCTATTAAATATCAGTTGAAGATGTTAAGTGCTGAAACATGCAAGAAACTTGTTTGGTGTATATCCAGTCGAACGATATTTGGCTGCTGTCTCCTCTATCTTGAGAAACTCCTCGCCTTTCTTGGCTTCTATCATCGCTTTTTTTTCTTCTGCTTCCTTATGGAGTTCAGCCACTTTATTTTTCATTTTCTCAGCATACTCTGCCTTCTTCTTTTCCAGTTTTTCCTGTAAGGAAATAAAAAAGTAAGCCCTTGGTTAAACACAGTGCCCACAATCGATGAAACTTGTAATCCAAGCTAGTTCACTGGTTATGAGCTAATCAGAGACGAATGCTTGATTTTATGCTAGAGACGAAAACATATTATCAATAAAAAATGCAAAGAAAATATTTAATTTATATGAGAATTTGAAATTTTGAGGGACGATCGCCGGTCAATCCCCTCTAGATCCATCCCCGGAGGTAACGATGTCGTAAACTACGGGCTGATATGGTAGAGAATGTTACCTCAAAGCTCCTTAGCTGTGCTTCTACAGCAGCTTTCTTGGTGTTATCCCATGATTCAATTGCAGATATCTTCTTATGGGCCCTGATTCAACATTTTTTCAGCATTCTATGTTGCTCAAATCATGTATGAGATCCCACAACATAAATGGGTACTAAATACATTATCAAACCAAATACTAACACATGTTAGGATTCGAATCTCAAAAATTAGAATATTGCAGAGTTAGTCAGATTATTTAAGTAATCTTTTGTTTTAGTCCCTCTGGCTATGGGAAGCTTGAAAAAAAAAACAAGGATTTGTACAAAATTTAGAGATTTATGCCTCTTACTTGTTGTCTACTTTTGCCTTTTCATTTTCCTCCCATGCTTTAACTAAAGCTAGTCTTTTCTCAGTCTCAACTCTTGCAAGCGCAGAATCTGAAAGCAATGGTCTGATAAAATCAATTATTTTTACAAAATTAAATGTACTTTTGAAATTAATATGTATACCTCTGTTTGCACTTTTCTCTTTAACTGGTTCTTCTGTGGTAAGTTCTGCCAGTTTCAACATTTGATGTCAGATAATGTCATATCATAGGGTTACATAAGAAGGGCTAGAGAAATTTATTTGAAGCCCTTCAACTATTTTGAAAATTCTAGTTAAGCCCTCCTAAAATTTTAAAAATTCTCATTAGGCCTTAAATGTTGAAAAGCTGCCCAAAGTGTGTTTAAAAACAAATTAAGAGATTGCCATGACCAAATCCGAACTCTGATAGAGAGAAAAACAAGGAATCAAAGTCTTTGCAAGGAGAAAACATACTTTCAGGCACAGGGATCACACTCTTCTCTTCAGCTGCATCATGATTATATGGTGCAGCTGCATGATCCTCCATGTCTTGTTTAACAGGCTGCTCCATCTCCTTGAATGCAGCTGCATGATCCTCCATGTCCTGTTTAACAGGCTGCTTCATCTCCTTGGGTTCTGAGGCTTCCATTTGACTGGTCCTCCTCTCCCATAACGTATTCTTTTAACTTAGCCACAGATAATCCACCAGAACTATCAGTTTCCCTCCTTCGATTGAGAATACAATTCTACACAAATTTTAAGAATCAGCCCCCCAAATAAACAAACAGATAGAGAAGAAAGAAAATCTCTGGAAATGTCAGCTGCAAACAATTACGGTGGTTGTGGTAGGTACATATAGAAATCGAAGTTGGGTCACAAAATAAAAGGTATTTCTTTTCTGAATAATTTATTAGTTATTAATAACCTACTCTACATACAATTATTCAAACTTAAAATCTAAAAAATAATATTCTTCTTTAGTACTGAAATGACTCAATGATTCTTATAAAAGGAATTTTTTTTTTGTAAACTTATATATATATTATATAAAAGTAGCTTTCTTAAAGCAAAGAAAGCATCACGCGACAATTTAGGATATAAATAAATATTTTATGTCATCATTTACGGAAACGAGAAGCAAACTATAACTGAACAAACACTGTCTGTGTATTTGCTCATATCCCAATTTCACTGTTTTCTGAAATGAAGTTTGATTAGAAATGGGATCATCTTCAACCTTATCCTCAACCTTCAATTAAAACTAAGAATTTTTGTTTAATTAAAACTTTCACAATTCTTGTGATTTATGGTCCTTCATTATCACGATAGAGGTAACAACTACAGCTGCTCCGGAAAACGACGCCACTTTCAAATGTTAAAACTATTTTATTTTATGCCAACTATACAAAGAGGGTTCATTGTGTAGAAGGTTCAGTCCATGTTCACTACCATTTATGTAGAAATATGTGGTAGGATCTCTTCCATGCTTATTTTGTCTTTTTCTTTTTTATTTATATGCTCTTTTTTCGATTTTTTTTTATTCTATAATCAATTCACATGTCAAATCTAATCTAAACTTTTATCTTACGATTTGACACACTGAATAAAACTTTTATGTCGGTGAATCGTAATGGACTTCAATATGTTGGATGAGAATAAATGTATATAGATGTGGTAGTAGTTTTCAAGATTATATAAATATATATATATATATGCTACAAATGTGTGTTGAGTAAGATTTGATGTGGATTTGATCGTATCTAACCTATTTTATCTCATTTCGTCCTAATTCTTAATGACATAAATGTATTTGAACACTATAGTTCCATTACATAAAATATAATTATTAACCTAATGATCATATTCACGTGTATTTGCAATAAATTTTATTTCTCACATCTTTAATTGAAACATGATAGATTTTGATATTTTTGACTGATTTGATAGATTTTAATATTTTTGATGATGTTACGTCTCTTCAAATCGATTACATTGGTCTTCAAGTATCATGAATATGTGGTTTTGAACAACTTCAAGTGTAATCTGACTGTGTAAAAGTCGTGAAGTTAATCATTTCTCCGAACGTAGACTTCAACCCTTTCCCATTAATAAAAGTCATCTATACTATTTGAAATCAAGCTTAGTATACGGAGTTTTTTTTTTTGATCTCACGGAAATACAACATGGTAGCTGACCGACTGGTAAAGTTGTTCGTTCTTGAATACTATAGAGTTTCATTACTTGATTCTATACCGTCCGACATTCAACTATTTGTTTCAATAAATATATAAAAACCTTTGTAGTGTAGAATTGTTCGTTTTTAAATCATGGACTTAAAACCACATTTCAATTCAAAAAAATATATCATATGAATTTCGAAACTTGCTAAAAATTTTAAAAGAAAATATTTGATCTTTAGGGTGGATTCTTACACACTGACAGTCTTGTTCGTTTTTTTTTTTTTCCTTCTGGAAAAATCTTTCGAGCACTGATATAAACATTCGCTTGTATTCGACAATTCCCTAAATTCATCAGCTTCATTCAAAAGATATCGACAATAGGGTCAGCCTAGAGATTGCAACCATGGTCGAACACGTACATTAGAAAACGAGCAAACGTACAACAGTGGCTTGTGTTAAAAGAAGAGCTAAAATCAGAAATGCCCAGTATTTGAATGAAACGATGGCTGAATCTCCTTTGTGCTTTCTGTCAAAGTAAATTTCCGTGAACCTTCATCAGGGAAAAATTAACTCCAATTGCTTTCAAATTTCAACTTTGGCCTGTTGGTATAATTATTCTTTTCTCCATTGTGACAAATATATAGTCCCCCAAAGCTATGAGAAGGCAGAGTTTGATTATTTTTTTTTAATTATTTTTAAATAGAAGTAGTTAGTCTTGTTAGAAATTGAAAATATCCAAAATTACAATAAGGATTTACAAGTATCACCGTAACCTAAAAACATAATTTAAAAGTTCATTCATAGTATAAGGTAAATTATATCATATATCATTCAATTTTATTTTTATATCGAAAATATCACCATATACCACCACAATTTTGGAATTATAATATAATAATATTATAAATAAAATTACTATAGATTTGATTAAAATATAATTTTATATTTTTGTTCCCTATATTTTTTAGAGTTAATTGCATTACATGTCTTCAAAGTATGATCCTCATTTTGAAATGGTCCCTAAACTTTTAAATATTTTAATTTGATCCCTAAATTATTATTATCATTTTAAATTAATCCTCAAACTTTTAAACATTTCAATTTCACCCAAACTATGATCTTCATTCTAAATTAGTCCCCAAACTTTTTGAACATTCCAATTTCATCACAAACTATACATATATACTAATCACATCCCTTGTTAATAAAATCGTTAGCCAAGCTATATTGTTATATGTTTGAAAAAACAAAATTTAGGTTAAACTATGGTTGAAACTAATTATATATTTGGATGAATTTGGAGATGAAATTGGAATATTCAAAAGTTTGGGGACTTATTTAGAGAGAGGGTCATAGTTTAGGGATGAAATTAGATTGTTCAAAAGTTTAAGTACTAATTTAGAATGAGTCATAATTTGGGGATAAATTAGAATATTCAAAAGTTTTAAGGATTAATTTAAAATGATAATTATAGTTTGGGGACATATGATGTAATTAACTCTATTTTTTAAGGAATGTTAATAATAAATTTATTATTATGATTTAATCTTAAAAGATATCAAATAGTTTTAGGTTAGATTTATGAAGTTTGAAATATTTTTTGATAAAACAAACATTTGATTCATATTCAAGAGGCCAAAAAGGATTGGATTGGAAATTTTAGAGACCAATGATCGTCAACGATGACAGTTGAAAATCACGGTGATGATGGTGAGCGACGACCAACGATGAGACACTTTAATCAGATTCAAGAGTTAAATTAATATTTTATGTAAAGGTAGAGGTCAAAATGATATTTTATCTAAAGTTTAGAAGTTTATTAAAAGTTAATATCTTTTATTAATATGTCACATCATCATCAAACTAATTAGAATTAATAATATAGTTATCAAAATATAAATAATTAAAATATAATTTTTTTTAAAAACTAATAACAAAATTCATTATTAGGGTAAAGTACACAAATGGTCCCCCAACTATAGGATACTACTTTATTAAGTCTCAAACTATTAAAAGTTACAAAATGATCACCTGACTATAAGGAGTTGCTTTGTTGAGTCATTCGACTATTAAAAGCTACAAAATGGTTACTCGACTATTCATTATGTTCCAAATTCGTCCTTTTCAATTAAAAAAATTAACGGTCCTCTGAGCTGGACGTTAATATGTTGACTGATATATGATAAAATATGATCTCATAATCTAAAAAAACTATCATATCCAGTCGGTATGTTAACGTCCAACTCATATTACAATTAATTTTTTTAACGGAAAAGGATGAATTTGGAACATAATGAATAGTTGAGTAACCATTTTGTAGCTTTTAATAGTCGAATGACTCAACAAAGCAACTCCTCATCATAGTCGGGTGATCATTTTGTAACTTTTAATAGTCGGGGACTCAATAAAGTAGTATCCTATAGTCGGGGGACCATTTGTGTACTTTACCCTAATTATTTTTTGTAATTTACCATTAAAAAAGGAGTGAAAAATCCAAAATCAACCAAATTTGCTTAAAATCTTTCGGTTTCTTTCATTATTTGGAAATACGAAACATATACATTAACTTAGAACTAAGTAACGTTCGTGCAAATTTAATTATGATGGCGATTAGTAGTTTTAACATTTTCACTTGGGTTGTCACATTATTATCAATGCACATCTTGACCACAATTAATCATCACCTAATCTCTTTAATCTTTCCTATCTTATCTTCTACTTCCCGTTAAATTGCCTTCAACTTGGCTCACTTTTATAAGTAAACTATTATTATCACTGGCTTAAAACAAAGTTGTTTTATTTATTATGACAACTATTATTGTTTACCGTAGTAGACTTAAAAATATTTTTGAGGATGACCCCATATATATATTAATAATATAAAAATTTTATACAAAATAATCACAGATAAAATTTCAGAATAGATACAATTAATAAAATAAGTAATTAATAAAAAAATAAAATTAATTGATTAGTGAAATCATTGTTTTCTGTTGCTTATCGGCCACAATTGATTGTCCAAATTAAGATAAAACGTACGATGAAGTTGTTTGGAACGAGTTCTAATTACCACTATTGTCCCTTTTTGATGTAATATTTCATAGCAATATTAATTAAAAAATAGAGTAAAAAACAGATTTAGGTTGGTTGAGTTTAGTACAATGTGATAGTGAATATCAGGAATTGATGGGCTCAATAGATCCAATTTAAATGGATCCACCATTAACCTATGTCAATTAAAATTTTAAGTTTTTTGTTTGTATTTTTCTTTTCTTCTTCTTACTATCCCTGCCCTTCTCAACACGGGCCAGATTTTTTTTCATAAAAAAATATTTATTAAAAGATGTTATAAAAACGTTGTAATATTAAAAAGTTTATTAAATGATCATCAAACCACCTTTCGTTAACATGTAACAAAAGAATTGACATAATAAATGACATAAATATTTATTAATTTTAGAGAAAAATATAACATTTTTCTAAATCATGGTGCTTCGACTCATCATTTTTTCTTTTTCATATCTAAAATCGTATAGAAATTATGGGTGTATTGATAAACAGTTACAACGTGACAAGTGAACTCCAAAAGAAAATTCGATCAACTTCACGTGAATACTCGCCTAAGCCTTCCGTAGTCTCTCATGTGTGCACATATTGTGTTCATTATGATTTAACTCTCTTTT